TGGCGCAGCGCTTGCACGTGTTCTTCACTGTATTCCTAGTTATAATTAGCGCGGGAGTGCTAACAGTGACGCCTGGCGGCGAGCTTGGGTGACGGCACATGGGGCATGAGCGGCCCTCTATGGCCCGGGGCGGCTGGCGTGATTTGTCGTCTCCATGGAGGATCCCGCGGAAGGCGGTGCCCGCGGGACGTCTCCTGTGGGTCCCTCGACGTGATTCGCGATGAGCCTTCACGTTACCTTTTGTTTGTTGGCATGTTGACTACGTGTATTGAAGTATTGCAAAAGGTTGCTATAGCGTGTCACTAGTAATGTATTTGATTCAGCTGATGAATTAGTCCATGTAAAAAGTAATTGAATAAATGTACACGATGTTTGCCATCCACGTCTGCTGTCTCCATGTGTTCAAAAAGTGGCACTCTGAATTCAAGACCTCACATAATACACGGGATCAAGCGGCTTGCAGCAGGCCAGCAGCCATTCGGCGACTTGTTCAAATAACAAGGAACGTCACTCCCTTTATGGCCTAGCGCCGGTCGCAACAACACCGAGCGTCGTCTCCTGTCACTCGTGAAAAATCCAAAATTCAATTAAGGGCCAAGAGGGCATGGGTGATTTGGATCAGTTGACGGTATTGTGTGAAATATAGCTTGCAGTGAGCACCAAATAGTTAATAAATCACTTTCCCTATGCGCCCATTCACATGACTTTTAACAGAAGCAGTGAAATAAACCGAGATACTTTTATCACGAGGGATGTTTAAGGGTTGCATAATTGCCACTGTGCGCTACCGAGTAAATTCGTTTACTGTTCCGCTGAAAAAGAGGAAAGTGGCAACTGTGCGGCAAGACGCATGCACAATATCCGTGAAACAAGTGTTATTTTGGGCAATACTCCACCAGATCGAAAGTGAGTGGTATTTAAGCTTTATTTGACTACATCACAAATTCTTTCACGAACAGATTCCTCTGAAATTAAATAACAGTTGCACTAAACTTTTTTTTTTGCTTTTGCCCCAAAACATCAATATCATGAGTAAGGCACTTCAGCCACACGTGCAAATAAAAGTAAAATCACTTTGCTTTTTCACTCCTCTGACATGCAAACTCACATAGCGCTGTCATTTGTTGAAATGTAAAGCAACCACGGATCAAAGCAGTTGTACGTTTGGTCGTTAAAATCTTCCAATTTTGTGCTGATAACTCTTACACAACCGAATGCATGACATTTAGAGCGTTGCTTGACAGGGCGGCACCTCATATCGCGAGCGGCGTATTAAGGAGACAGGCGCTAGTGGAATAATCCTAGCTAAGTCCTTTCACGTTGCGTCGAGTGTAGCCTGTCAATATTTGACGAGCAGGAACGCTTCAGGGCTTGCGTCTCTCCCTAGTACAACCTCAACTTTTGTGGCAGCGTACACGGAATCAATGATTGAACAGCTCCTCACAGAGAGGAGCAGTTAGACCATACTAAGAAAAAAAACAAGATGAACACTGAACAGATGCATGAGCGAAATGAAATGGTTATGAGAGACTCACCCGCTTCACACTTACGAAGATTAATGATAAGAAGTAGGGACTTTCACTGGGTGTCCTTAGCAAGTTGCGATACTCATGGCCGAAGCAAGTTCAGGTTTATTACGAGCGGAAGTACGGGATGTGTTCAAATACTGATGACTGAGTAGAAATAGAGGTGCTGCAATGCGATGGTCTGTTAGATCATTTCGAGAGCTTTTTCTTGCAATATGGTGTGGGTACGCTTTCACGCGTAACGTCATGCGACATTTTAACGCCGCGAAGTTGGAAGCAAGTAGGCCTTAGTTTTGAAACGTGACCATGGCTAACATTCCGGGTGGTCCGATTTCGCTATTTGTCATACTCTAAGGAGAATGTACGGCGTGTGGACATGAACACAAGTAAACAGAGCTAACAAGAAAATTCCGAACACAGCTCAGCTGCGAAATATAGAATGCAAACAAGCAGAATTTGCAGCCCAGTGAAAGTTCTGTATAGGGTTCCGTGTATAGGGCTCCCTTGCGTCCACTATTCCGTTCACTCACACGCGGAGCAAGAGCCACCAATCGTCAGCGGTTCACTGAAAATGAAGGAAAAAATTGGCAGCAAACATGTATTAATACCGCACAATAAGCTCTAAGGTCATGTGGCATCCAGAATGGACAACTCGTTTCGACAACACAGAATGTAGCAAAAAAACATAAGTAATATCCTGCTCAAATGGAAAGGAGTATGCATTAGAGGTTTAAAGAACTTTATGAATATACTGTTCATGATTCATTTAGGGTGCGTGTAAGCGTCTATGGTTCAAAAATTTTGTGTCGTGCCTTAAACAACTTGGCTGCGCATGTCACTCAGCATAGTGAAACGGCTCATAATTCTGTGATTTCTTTGCCTTTTGTTGTATGTCTAACTGTAGGCCCTGCCTAATTCTGCCGCTAAACTACATCAACTAGCTTAACTCTTTCTAGAGTTCAACAGTAATGCCTAAACTTCGGGTAGATCAGTGAAAAGCTCGACACACAATGGTGCGCGGTACTCACTTCTTAATGAATAATTCCAACCGAGTCTATGCTTGCTACGCTGCTGGAGTCCTATGGATTAGAAGTCCAAGATAAATACTCTGGAGTTCGGATGGTTGCGGTCAAAATAGAACATAATTTTTTCAAAAATATACATCATATGTGTATTGGTATCGAAATTTATTATAGCCCCGCCGCGCTGGTTTAATGGCTAAGGTACTCGGCTGCTGACGCACAGGTCGCGGGATCAAATCCCGGCTGTAGCGGCTGCATTTCCGATGGAGGCGAAAACGCTGTAGGGCCGTGTGCTCAATTTGGGTGCACGGTAAAGAACCCCAGGTGGTCGAAATTTCCGGAGTCCTACACTACAGCGTCTCTCATAATCAGATCGTGGTTTCGGGACGTTAAACCGCACATATCTATGAAATTTACTATAGCTCGTAAAGTATATCCGCCATGGTCGTCAATCATAACGTACTCTTTTTTTTTCGTCCCGTAGCTGAACAGTTTTTTTTTTTCCAACGTGCGCGAGATATGGAGCTTGGCAGCCATCGGAAAACTGCCAACCACTGTTACACGTTTCATGCCAAGAAAAGATATAGAGGGACACGATTATCAGGAAAAAGTTCAATGCGAAAACAAAAAAAAAACGCTGCAGCTTCGTCTCAAGAGTATATATGGTAAAATTGGGCCCCGTTCGCACTGCCTTCTCAACCGGTACTCTCACCTCGCTGCTCAGTGAACGGCTCAACGATGCCGCAAGGGAGGCCTGCGCAACTTGCATTGGCCACTCAAATCTATCCTATCATGCCTCCTGCAAGTACGTTGCGAAGCGCCCACTGCAACACAATCCTTCGTTTTGCAAATCATCCAAGTACCCACTACGCGTCCGTAATGCAACACGCGAAGCTACGCACCTGGTCACTTTGTTTATGATTTTGCTAATGGTCGTGAGTAAATATGCCGGACCGCATCGAAATGAGTAGCCCCTCAGGACCTCTCGGTTATTGTGCAGTTCACAGCTCTTGACACCTGGCACGATTGTACACTTCTGCCAGGAAACATTACAAGACATTCTTATGGGAATTTTTTGTTTTGGAAGCAGCTCTTGGCATTGACGTGTCTATGTGTTCTACCACGTGCTTGTCACACATAAGACCTGAAATCTATTTCCTCTGTAAGCAAAATGTTTAGGAACTAAGCTCTTCAAGTGCAATGTAAAACGATGTGTTTCAACAAGGAAAAAAAGCCTTCATGCCGTTGCTTATGAACCGCGCCACCCGATGGAGAAAGGCGCGCAGTCACCGCACTTACTTTTTCCGCCGCGCGAACCGAGTGCAAGTGACCTAAAGCCCCAGCTTCTGCCGTGGGTGCCAAAGCCAGTTTTGCACGTTAGTCCTGGCACTGGAGTATCAACATTCTTGTATCATCTGTGATAGTCTGGGGTTCAACTGTATACTCTTGCTACATCAAGGAAATACCTAGCCTGAATGCGGAAGGCCACGATAATCCCTAAAATCAACCAGTGTCACTAATTGTAAGCTCTACGTGCTATAGTGTAAACATCCGCCCCTTTTAATATGTATTGATTGGCATCTACCTCGATGTTTTGCGCCCCAAGACTGATTTTTTTTTCTCACAACCAACGACGATCACACCGACCCCGACACTGGAGTTTCCGCCAAACAAGCTCTTTAACGCTGCGGTGTTCGAAGTCGACGTGTGCATTAACAAGATGGGGATCATGTCTGTAACAGCATTGTTCAATTGGCTACTGTCAATCTACTGCAAGAACAGCCTTAGAGGTTAAAAAAATGAATACAGATTATTTTCTCTTTACTAAAGAAAGTGAGACTTTAAACACGAGTGGATTGACTTCATATGGAGAGAACAAATATAAATGCGCATTTCGTCAGTTCAGTACATCTCGTTTACACCAAATTAACAGTTCTATGTAAATAATTAACACGAAAGCCCTTGCTATGGTAGAGATATTTGACCGAAACATAGCAATCACATGAATACAACAAAGACGTAGGATTATTTGGATTGCGTTTACTAAATAAATAGGTTCCTGCGAAAAATTCCGCTATTTCGTTGATATAAACAGCGTACTCTAACAGGTTGGATGAAAATCAGTAACGTTTCTCGTGAAGCCGCCAACATGTCAAATACATGCAAGTGGGAAATCTAGAAAAAAAAGAAAAAAAAAGAAACCACCCTATGGTATCGTGGATGTAGCTGTGTGATTATGCCTGTTTTCTTCAGGCCACCACAGAATGGGTCGCCACGACATCGCATTGCCAATCTCTTGTACCCTTGTTGCTTTGTTAGCTTTTCATCCATCTGCTTCTTATGTTTTTCTTATAAGCCATCAGAAAACAACCAGAAGAGCTAGCACACGCTATTACATGGAAGATGAGACCGATGGTCGCACATCTATCATATTTCCGTCTTTTCATTCTAGGACCCAGAATTGAAACTTTTGTGGAACATCGCTGATGAAATCGGAGAGTACGTCCCTTGGGAGCAGAGCTCTCCGCGAGGCGAAAACTGGATGTGGCAGCAGAAGATCCATTACTTCAAGCACTGCCTGGAGCACGTACTGCTCAAGCCGGTCCCAGAAGAAGGTAATGCAGTGTGCGTCGTATCATTTGTGTTTCTTTTTAGCAGTGAGGATGGTGTGGAGTTTCGGAATTGAGTATACAGTTCATTCGCTGCAGGGGTCAATGCTTCATTTTGTCCCCGAACGTGGGACGGTTGGAATTGCTGGGACGACACTCCTGCAGGTCACACAGCTTATGCCCCTTGCCCGCAGTTCGTCGCTGGATTCATCTCTTCGAGTGAGTAAATACCCGTATAAACGCACCCTCACTCGTGAGGTCTTATAACCGCTACAAAACAACGGCGGTTTATGCGTTGTTATTATAGTTTGACGCAGAACGAACCAAAAAAAAGTGCACTGTTTACGTTTTTTTTTGCTACAAAAACTCGCCTATAGGACAGAAAGATAATAGCTGACCTAGTTTAAACGATGAAAGCACACATCAAAGCGAAATATTGCTATGAATATTCTATATTGCGTTGATTGTTGCCCGCTCTCTGGCGCGACTAGAGTAGTTATTCAATATTCGAAGGGCTTACAAAATAATTTGTGTCAACATGGTGGTTGACGCAATCGACCAATATTCTAATTTCTCAGTTTGTGTTCGTATAAGTTGCTTTTTGGACCATTGTGTGAACGGCTCTTGGTCCCAACTAAAACAGTGAAGACGGAAACCTGAATTCTAAATATCGCTTACGCCACAGCAATTAACGAAAAAATCTATGCCCTGACAGGATTAATACTTTAATCCCGTTCATTACTGTTTTTGTTTTTTCTTTTTTTGTCATGTTAAGGGCAAGCACACAAAGTTTGCACCGCCAATGCATCATGGTTTCGTCACCCAATCACAGGAATTATCTGGTCAAACTACACAGCATGTGTAGACACGCACGATCTTCAGGTGGGTGCAGTTCAATAGCCTATCTTGATAGGAAGTGAAGCTAATTATTGGTTACATATAAAGATCGTGGCATGGTATGCGAAAAGCATGGTGAGTGTACAATCCTCGAAGTCTCACTATCTGTTTCGCTGTTTTCTCAATGGTGGGGTTGTGGTCGATCAACAGCTCCTAATGTGAGAATGTATATAGAGAAGTGGCTTCTCATTTTTTTCTTGCCACGTTTTATTGTTTCCTGGATATTAACGAATTGTTTGTCGTTGTTGCATGTATGTATTATACGAAGTGATCTGCTGCTGACCACCAGGAGAAAAGTCTAATCCACAGCATCCGCAGCATGTAACGCATGTGAAATCGAGGAGTTCTAACAACTTCAATTAAAAAAAAATTAAGTACGTACCAACTAGCTCAAGTTTTAGTTTTATGCGAAATGCCCACAACCTATAGAAGGCACGCCATGCGTGTCAAAGTGGCGTTCGGAGGTAAGTACACTTGCTTGTTAGCATAAGAACAGATAAAACGTGCCCCTGAATGGGCCGTGCCACTTTCTCTGAACGAAATCGAGAGGTGCACTAAAATGGATATGGGACTAAAATATTTTCCCAAACGATGGAATGTACTCAATGTTCGCCACCCATCTATTTGCCATCGTGTGAGATTTCGTATTTCAGCTACGTTACCGTGGACAAACGATGCTTTGCAAAATATGCATGCTTCATAAAAGGTAGGAAACGAGATCGGACGCATGAACTGAATTGCACTGCGAGTTACTACTTATAACAAGCCTACATGACGTATTTGCCACAATAGTCAAAACGTCAGGCCTGCGCAGAAGGCTGCGCCTTCCACGCAGGCCTGGCGTTTTCGCCGTTAGCGCTTAGCATCATCAATGCTACACGGCACCGCATGTTTAACGTGGGGATAGCTTCCAAACATATTTCGCCGTCGTTGCTGTTTCACAGCCAGGAGTGCAGAGTTATTACTTCAACGGAACACGAGCATTCAACAGATATTCAGCAATGATTACGTCGCTACCATGCTCAGACTCGAGCTGTGTGCAATGTAGTGCACTCGGATATTGCGGGTTCAATCAGCACGATCAAAACATGAATATCAAAAAGAATATACACGTATTTTTCTCACAATGTCCATGAACTCAACGTCAAAAAAATTTGAAGAACAACAATGCCTTTCTGAAGGTACTGGTGAAGTACAGGGGAAGTTAGCAAAGAGGCGTTTATTGTGGCCGTGATCTCTAGTCTCATCTCTGTAACTACTTCACTTCACTGATAGAGCTGGATATTGTTGGCGGCAAGCGGTGCTGCAGAGCATCCCAAATAATGGCGCTACATGCAACACACAAGCAAAACTATGCTCTTATTTTGATGTCGCTTAAATGGAATGCAAGTTATTTACGAGCGCGAACATAAACACACGAGGGGCCGTAAAGTTCAACACCAAGTCGTGAGTCAGCAGCTGATCGTTCATCGTCTCTGTCACTCTTGGTGCTTTCACAGTCTTCTACTTTCACTTAAATCTTCTCGTCATTCGGATGGTTTCTGTCGGCATCAGCATGGAAAGCGATCTGCAAATCTTTCTCTGCCGAGTGACTTCATCCACACCCCACAATTATGTATAAAACTGCAAAAAAAAATCAGTGTCTCTCCTCAAAGAACATTTTTCTCTCAAACCGGTTAAAAAGCAAATCACTTGCTGTGTGCTGTCATTTATCAAAGAAACGTAAAAAACAGTCGGTGGACAGATGGCTATAAAACACACAGGTGGGCTGGCTATAAAAACAACACACAAGTGAAGGGCAGCATTGGGGCTTTCAGTGGCTCAATAAGCGTGGAGCGAAGGCATCCTCTAATGAATGAAATGTCGCTACCACGATTGATAACAGGGCTTTCCTGAAGAAGAATGATATGCGTATTTAAAGTATCACAAATTAGAGATTGCTGAAGGATAGAAGAGCTCATCCCGAACCAGCGTAACTTACCCCGTACAATGGGATGTGATTCATACAATACAAAGGTACAGGCGAATGCTATAATACTGAAGTAAAACAGGGTGTTGCCTCTGAATTGGTCAGATGATGACATTCAACGAACCTACGTGGCTGCAGAAAACCTCGCGAAAATGAAATGTGTACGCTATGTTCTATTTTTCAAAGCGTGACTCGCCTCGTATTTTCACGAAAGCTTTGCATATTGCAAGGACAAATGAGATTTCTCACGTAGCGGAGGGTCTTGTTTATATGATGCAAGGAACATGCAAAGCCGTAATTTTCCTTTCATCTGAAGGCTTTAACAATGTGACCAGCACACGTGAATAAGAAAACGGCGGCCAAATACACCACTGTGTCGTCTGCTTACCCTCCTCTTGCAGATTCTCCGGACGTCCCCTTGGTGGTGGGACAGTCACATTAAAAATATTTCATATTGTACATCAGGTGCAGCACTTTCGATGAAGGTGAAATTTCAGGCGTTTTTCAGCCCCGAGAAGTTGGATTAACGCCGCCTGGTGGGAGGCTTGCATGACGTCATGGCAAGACACTTCGAGTCTCGCTGTGGCGCGCGTATACATAACCCGCGCTCGCTTCGAACGCCGTTGCGCTGCCAGCGTTCACTTTTTCCTAGTATCACGCTTAAAATATAGAACGGAAGCAGCATCGATGATGTTTTTGGCAAATCAATGAAAAACTCGATATTATTTTTTTAATGCGAAGCATTTTTTAGTGAACTTCGGCGACTTTGAGCGTATCTATCTATCTATCTATCTATCTATCTATATATCTATCTATCTATCTATCTATCTAACTATCTATTTATCTATCTATTTATTTATCTATCTATCTATCTATCTATATATCTATCTATCTATCTATCTATCTATCTATCTATTATCTAGCCACCTAGCACTTTTAGCTCTCCTGGCTGTTTCAATAATAGTATTGATACCGAACCTGGTAAGGCATAACATGACTGTATAAAGAACATACTTGACTCGACATAACATGAAAATCAAAGAGAGAGAGAGATAAATAGAGAGGAAAGGCAGGGAGGTTAGCCAAGCTTGGCTCGGTTGGCTACCCTACACTTGGGGTGGGGGAAAAGGGGAATAATAGAACGAAAAACATATGTATGTTATGAATGTCATGATTTACATTTCACGGTCCTTCAGCTCTTGCTGTGGTTCCGTTCACATGGCAGTGTTGTGAAACTGGTATGGCACGGAATCATTGGACTGGCGAAAAAAAGCGGCAAATCCTAACATGAAAATGATGGCATGCGTGTCATGTGACAACATGACTACATACCATGCTCATAATGCGCTCGCGGCCGTTTCGCTAGCTTCACATATACCAAATTGGTATTACGGGAGATGAATGAATCACGAAGGTAAACAACACATCCAAGCATCCAAACTCGCAGGTTTGACGCATGCGCGTTTCAGCGCATCCAGCGTCCCTCCGTCACGAAAAGAGAGAGCGCATTGGCGCGAAACGCAGCATTTCGCATTTCGATCTGGTTGCCGACGGGTGGCGCCGACGGACACTGGTCGCCCCTGGCGTCAGACTATGGAGTTTACTATGCTACTTTGTGCTATAGAGTGCTCGCGTTTTGCTAACGTTGCGTCACTGTGCACTGCGTGCGCGCGTCACCGCTAACTTGGAGTATATTGGGCCCTTAATGATGCGCTCGAGGCCGTTTTGTTAGCTCCACATGCACCAAATTAGACGGTACGTGACGTCAATGGATGACGAAATATATGACTGGTGCGAACTTGATAACCCTGACACGCGTGTCATATAAAAACATGACAACATATGACGCTCATAGCGTGCTCACGTACGTTTCTCTAGCTCCACATATACTAATTTTGGTGTCACGTGACGTGAACAAATGATGATGGTAAACTACAGATCTAAACATGATAATCATCACAGGGAAGTCACGTACGACATCAATTACGTCTACCTCATAACGTTGGGCTGATTTTAAAGTGACGTATCAACATTTCTCATTCGTGCTTCACATATCGATTCTCAATGTACGCGGGATCCAGCAATTTTTTCATTAGAATCGCCAACGGTGCCTGCGCTGCAGCGTGGACGCTTTGAAGTTCAATATGGTGTCGCGCTGCTTACTTTGAAGATGGGTTCGATTCTCGGCCATGGTTGAAGCACTCCGACTGGGGTGAGCAGCAAGTCAATACATGTGCCGCAGGTGAAAAGAAAAAGAGAGGTCACCACAATTACTCTGCAGCGTGCCTCGCAATCATGTTGCGGTTTTGAAACGTGTACGACAGCGTACTTGCATTTAAGGTGCGCTGTTCACGGGCGATTTCTTTAAAAAGAAGTGATTGTTTCACCTCCACATTTGGTATTTCTATCAGACGCACCGGGGTAACTGCTGGCAGCGTTTTTTAGGGGCGAAGCTCCTTAGGGCGTGGGCTGTGCGTCCCCTGTAGCCTGTATGTAGCCACCTCAAGTTTAGTTCTTGCAGTGTTCACTAGATGGCGGTACCGTCCCCTGTATGTATCGTAAACTGAGCTAGCCATGGTCAAAAAGACCGTAAAGTGTTCAGAGTGGTGAGGCGCCTTCGTCGAGGTCGGACGTGTTTTTGGAGAGCTCCGGAATGACAGCTACAGATAAGTGTTTTTGCATGTTTCCAGCTTGCCTCTGTATGTAGCGTTATGAGAACGTAAGGCGCTAGCGTAAAGCTTGATTAGGTCTAGTACGGTGTACGTTTTTTTTTGTTTTTTTTTAGTATTCTGTACTGTGTCTTTTTTTTTTCTCCAGCCACCACGTGGCTGAGGCCTGCGCGTAGACCGACCACGTGCATGCGCAGGTGCTGTGAAGTGTAGCGTATTTATTTATTATTGTGGTTCTTTTTGGCTTAGACCAGTGTATTTTAGTACAGTTTTCTAACACGTGGACATCGGTAAACTGAGCTAGCCATGGTCAAAAAGACCGTAAAGTGTTCAGAGTGCGGGATAGG